AAGAAGAAGCAGTGCCCATGAAGACTTCGTTCCATAGCTCCTCCTCAGTTACAAAACTTAATAATTGTCTGCCTACACAGGCGGAGAGACACCAGAAACAAGGGCCAGTACCTCAGACATTTAGCTATTCCTTGAGGTGTGGACAGCAGTTATCTCCCTCTTTCATCCACAATTTAACAAAAAGACTCCACACTCCAGTTCTTGACTGATACGCAGCCGCAAGTAGACAGTGATGGTTGAGATTTTACCTACTTCCACTTTTAAATTTATTGTTCTTTACTGACCACCTCTAAGCTTTTGCCCACTCGGGTTGCCAGCTGCCCTCTGGAAATACCCAACTTCCCCAACAGATGCTCAGAGTGCTTCCTGGAGGCACCTGCCTGCCTACAACCACCCTACTGGGAACGTATACTAATTTTGTGATGTTGTGATCTGCAGGTTGGTTTTCTAGACGTTCCTTTAGTCAAGCAAACATTACCAGAAATACCATTAGTTCCTTCTTTCCCCCACCATCACATTTGTGTTGCTATATGATCAATTCCTACATAAAAAGCAAAGGAACAATGACACTTAGGCTATGAAACACTTTCTCTGATGACTCGTGCATTTTAGGAGGTTTATATTTACAAGTGATTCATGCATTAAAGATTCCAAAGTTTTTTAAAAAAAAAAAACCACCTTCAGGAAAAGAAGAGTCCTTAATGTTTAATAAAGGCTGCTTCTGCTACCAATCACATCATGTGAATGGTTCCTCAACAGAGAAGTGCGACAGGAAGTAAAGTAAGTTTTCAGTACTAGCTGCACGTTTACACTCACACACATACCTTTTGTCTCCATTGTTGGGACCCGAAGGCAGCTGAAGGTAGAGGTAGAGTTTCTCTAGGTCTGTAAACTTCTCAACTTCTTGCTAGAAAACAAAGGTGTTTTGGTTAAAACAAAACAAACAACAAAAAAGGGTGGGAGGAAGGAGAAGAAGAAAAAGTAAACAGTAAGAGTTGAGCCTGACAGCTAAAAATGCTCATCGAATAGTGTATTTCTAAATAATGTAGTTTCACACAAGAAAATATCTACTTATGTGAAAGAATGTGACTGTGAGCTCTCTGGGACTAGAAATGTGATTTTCTATTTTATTTGCACACCATCACACACTAGAAAGCACTTGTGACCATTACAAAATTCACACACAAAAAAAGCAGAATCTGGAAACATGTCAGTAACTGATCACTTCTGCAACCAGGCATGCAACATGAAAACTTTATCTTCTCAGAACACACATGAAGCACCTCTGAGAACACAGCATCAAAAAACAGCTGTGCTGTAACAACGCGGGATGTCAGACCTGATCCTGTGATCCACTACACATTAATAGTCAAGTTTCACAGACTTCAATGAAGCCGCTTTAAAATCTATCTATATACATATGTATTTTTTTGTTTCCTTTGGAAATCGGAATTACTGAACAGGTACTGAAGACAAGCCATTCAGTTAACATGAATCTCGGTGATACTGGACTCCTCCTCCAGAGGATACCAGCTGAGGATCAGTCACAAGGGGACATTTTACCTGGTGTATGCAAATAGTGATTGTTACATACAAACCAGCTACATGGACTTAGAAATACTAGGAAAATCAGTTGTGGTAATGTGCTCAGGCCTGCTTCAGCAACAGTGCGAGCAAAGCCGTGCAGCAAGGAGCGAATGGGTTCTCCTTCAGGAAGATGCTGCAGAAGCCATGCATGAGGTGGTGCACCATGAGTACAGAGCCAAAGACTGACATGATGCCTTTTTAAGTCAGAATACAGCTTTTGGATTACAGTTAATTCTCTTTTCCTTTACTGTTGTTGTCCAAAAGGAAGAGAAGAGAAGAGAGCAGGACCAACAGGTAATGAGACCTGACTGTTTGCTTCAGCAATGAGCAGAACAGAGAGCAGGGAAACCAAAAACCTAAACGTCACTTCAAACCGGGGCTCCCTACACTCCCAGTCATCTCCAGATCCCCTTTGCTTCAGCCAGCACAAAATTAACAGCAGCACTAGAGAGAGGCGAGCTCCCACCTCCCCTCCGCTGGCTTGGTGGCCAACGCGTGGGTCCCCTCCCCGACCTGGCCTCTGGGCAAGGACCGGCAGGACATGCCGTCCGGGGAAGGGCACTGGCAGAGCGCAGCGGCTCGCTCATCCCCACCGTCTGAACTCACCGCAAAACCAGTCCACAGAACTGGGCCACCAGCAATGCGACAGACCTCCTCAGAGCCAAGAGAAACACTTCCAGCAGCAGCCAGGTAACAGGCCCTAGATTTGTTGCTTTTATAAGCTGCAGCAAACCACAACTTTGTCAGTTTTAAAGAAAAAAAAAAAACAAACTCCTGAAATTTGCTGACACCGATTTCTGCATGGCTCTACAGCAGCTTACACAGCAGTGGAGCTCAGACCACCAAATATCCAGAGAAGTATTTCTTAATGGGTGCATTTTGTCAAATTCTCTGTTCTTCCTTTCCTGCATAAATCATAGCATTTGGACTGGTGGGTTTTCCTTTAACAAATCCATTATTGAAAGATTAACATTTCTCAAAGAAAGAATTTACAGAAAATTAATCATTTATTTATGAAAAGATAGAAATTTGACAACTGCAAGAAAACTTGCACTTCTTTATTAGACTTCCTCTTCTTCAAGGAACTTAGCTGCTTTTTGTTTTAAGCAGCACACCAAAGGATGCAGTTCAGGTGAGATTACCTTGCATGGTAAGCGCCAATTCATGCGGCAAAAGCATCCCAGACAAAATAAAAAAAACAAACCCTGATGACTTTGATGCTGAGGTAGAAGACAACCTCTTACTTCCAAATCTAGTGTGCCAGAGTGCAACATAAAGGGTGAAGTTTTGGAAGAAACATTAAAACTTTCATCAAAATACACTGAAGTAGTCTCAGTGCCCACTGTAGTGGAAGCAACTTCTGCTGTGCCCTGGCATGGAAGGACCCTGCCTGAGTCATGGAGGCTCCCCCTACACAGGTCCCATTCGTCATACCCCCTAATTAAAAACAAAACACAACACCCAATGATACATGTGTAGAGAAAAATTTTTACTGGGATTACGTTAGCAGAGCCTTTTCCAAAGGATGCATGCGAGGCAACAACTCTCTCATCAGCAAAAGTGCATCCCTAGAGCTGAGGCAGCTGAGGATGGTGGCTTTCTCACATCCTCAGAAGCAGCCGGACAGGGATGTTATCTCACTGTTTTCACTCAAAACCTGCTCCTCTCCACGCCTGGCCCCAGGCAGCACTCTCTGCAAAATTTCTCCAGCTTTCAGCAATGGCTGCGGGGAAGCCCCGGGGATGCAGGATCTCCTCGAAACAGGAGAGTTAACACGCAGCCAGGAGTCACAGGCTGTTCACAGAGGTAATCCTACTTGGGTGATAATTAGATAAACCTAAGCTTATTAGATGAGACTGAATCTATTTAGAGAAAATAATCTTAAAACTGAACAAGTGGCAGCAAAGAGATAGAGTATGACAGTCAGGAAACATGGCGTTTTGTCCATTTTAAAAATTTGTTAAATATTATGTTTTGTTTAGGCTGTTTTCTCAAAACATTTCTAAAACTCTCAAAACTTCGTTTACAACCTTGGTAAGTACAATCTCTTCTTCAACTTTGGCTGACATCCACCAGTGCTCAGTGCTAAAGGTCTGGTGAATTCAGTAATAATTCTGTTACTGTAACTGTTCAAAGTATCAAAACTTTCACATTTAATGCAATCAGAGATGAATTTGGGCAACTGGAGGAACATCTCAGTAGGCCTACTGACTACTGACCGAGAAGAGATTCATTCATCCTGAGTTTTTCGTTGTGCTAAGTTGGATGCATATGAAAATAAATGAAAAGAAACAAGAACACAAAATATACTATACACTTTCTCTACCATCACCCCCCAAATAGGTCAATACGGTGGAAAAAAATAGGCTAATAGCGCAGAAAAGAGTGACAGCATCAAAAGGAAGACTGTGATGCTGGCATCACCTTGGACAAATTTCCCTTTGCATAGCCCATTAAAGCTTATGCTACAGTAGTTTCAAAACCCATACAGAATGTAAAATGTCTAGGGGATCCTTTTCTGCTACTTAAAAGGATCTAAGTAAAAATTTTGCTTGAAGTTTCCTGACCTTGATTGACTGGTTCTATCAAATCAGATGAAGACTGTCTAATTCTCCAAAGGCTATTTATAAACTGTATTTCTTGAAGGTGCATTAGAAAAATGTATAAGCATGCTAAACTGCTTGCAGGACTGAGGTGTAAAGCCATCACAAAGCACCACCTCTGTTACTTTTGGTCTTCACACGTTATGTCTACCTCCTGTGATTGGAACCACGTTAAATAAAGGAAGATCCAGTGAAGATAGGGAGCAAGCAGTGTTCACACTTATTTTCACAACTTGGCTTCAATTTAGCAAAAAAATATATCAAGAACTCAAGATATGAGTGATCTTATATTCCAAGACAGAAAAACTAAGGACCAAGAATTAGAAAATTTGTTCCAAGGCTAAGCCAAGACTTTCAGTAACATATAAAGGAGCAGAAATCTCTGATATTTTTGACAGTTACCAAATACAGATAGTTTACCAAAGAAATGCAAAAAATAAGTAGCAAACAAATTAAACCAGAGATCCACTCATATTTGCGTTATCAGCAGCCGCAGATCTGCTCCAAATGAATCTGTCCTTTTGCTATCTAAGAAAGACACAGAACAAGGATCTCTTAGGAACAGATGCAACTTTCTTTTTCATTCTAACAGGCATTTTGATTGAGCAAATAAACAGCTGTGAAATAAACCAGGATGGCCAAAATATTGTTTGGTTGGTTGGTTTTTTAAAATGAAAATAGCAGGTTTTGACATCTGGTTCCATTCTGAGGGATGCCAACTAGACACTGAAACTTTTCGCAGCACAAAGAGTCAAAGATCAGTTCAACACAGAATGTGGTTAAGGACTTAATCTGTTATAGGAAACAGGGGTTTATGTTCCTGCTTGAACCAGAGAACCTAGAAATTTGAACATGAGTCTCCAGAATCACAGAAAATTGTTTAAGGTTTCCTGACCATCACGGATTGGTTCTGTCTACCTGGTTTTCTCTGACTGCCGGTCTACTGTCAGGTCACAAACGTTAGTGAAGTTTCATCCTAAAGTTGTCAAAAGGGACTACCATGGGAAAACTCCAGGGAACGTGCTTTTTCTAGATTGTTTTAAAGAAGAAAATATTTAGTCAGGCCAAACTTTAAATAAGATAGAGGGAGAATATACTAAGGAACAATTAGCAGAGTTACAACTTCTGCAATGAACACGGTGAAAAATGGCATTCAAATTTGAACTATCTAGTATTTCCACAATGAAGGTAGAATTACAGGTTATTTCTGTCCTCAAGTTCTGGTGAAGAAGAGGCTGAAGGCCGGGGCACTGCTGCAAGCTTTTTGCAAGACTACTATTTTAGAGAGCATGAACTGATCTTAATATTTCTTTCCACATGTTGAGTATTTATAGATAACTATAATCAAAGTAAAAAAGGCTATGCCAATGGCAACGTAACTTGCATCTACTGGCAGACTGGTTGTAAAAACTTGTCATACTTCAGCAGAACAAACATCTATTATTTAACAACCAGACTAAGAATAGCAAAGTAGTCAAGCAATCATCTCCCCACTTCGTGAATAGAGAAACAAGAAGCAAAGGTTAAATAATTTGCTCAAGGTCAGATGATTTGTTGGAAATATGATCAAGACAGAAAATAGCTAATACGAAACAGAACCTATTACTCTAAAAAGCTCCTAATAAATACATATGATATGCTTTATCTGAACAGAAGCAGGAACATATTTCAGGTGTTAAATATTCCAAACAAGCCCTAAAAACACGCAGCAGCTTTGTACTGACAGTGTCCAAGCACAGCTGCCAGAGCTTCACAGAGATTCTGCCTGTCTCACATAGGGCCAAAAGGACAAGTGACGAGCTACCACCTTTCTCCGCAGCAGGACCAAGGCACATTGCTTCAACAGATCTTACCCACTGCTGCAGCCCATATGGTAACTGCTCCAGCCATCAGCAGCTTTGGTTTTCATGGCCATCGATCCAGTACTCTCTCACCAGCACTGACCTCTTTTCAGAGGGCTAAGTAAAGAAACCTTAACCTTCTTGCCGAGCGATTATATGGAGCATACCATTTTAAAAATCAGGTTCAAGAGTTCACTTAGTATGTGGCAACAAACATAACAACTGAAGTCATAAGAGAATCCACTGCTAGACGTGTTTACTACAGTTAAAAAGATGTTATAATGAATTTTTAATGTCTGTTTACACCACAATTCTGGCTAATTATCTTTTTTGGATTGCACAGTATACAATGATTTTCTTATGATCTTCCAGAAACTGACAGTATGTCAGAATGTAAGTGGTGCAGCACAACAGGCAAAAGGCAGTTAACTTTGGTCTCTTGTATGAGTAATTGCAGCCCCAGTGCCCTTACACTAGCTGCTTTCCATAGCCCTCCGCTGCTAGCTACCTCCACAACAAAGATGATCGCCATCACCTCTGTTTCTTCTTCCTACTTCTCTCTTGCTATCCTATGTTGAACTAGGCAGTCTATGTGCTAAAGAGCATTCCCGTGTGGCTCTGCACACTGCGGCTGTGACTGGTGCTACCAAACACAAACGGCAACAAGTGGAGTCTGATTTTTCTCTACTGGTGTTTTTTCTTTTAAGATTGCTAGCAAACTGATCAAGTTTAAATGCTTTAAGGTATCATCAGCACCTCCCAATATAACTGAAAGCTAGTCCCAAATCTCCTCTTCACAGTAAGAAGGGAGACAAGGGACAGACATTGTCCCTTTATTCTGTACAAGACCAATTCAAAGACCCTGAAAAGGTTTCTAACTGAACCAAAAACTTAAGAAAGTGCACTTAAATGAAACATTCTGACCTCCCCATAAGCTTGGAGTCAGACTCTTTGCAGGCAGCTGGTACCCCAGTCACAGGACCGCTCTGACAAACCCATACACATTCCACCAAAGAGGCAATCTGCTCATCTACCTCCTGCAGAACAAAACTGGACAGGGCTGCAAGGAAGCTCCAAACAAGTTATGTAGAGCTATATAGTTATAGCATTCTAGTTTAACATACTTCTAGATTCTGTCTTGCATCTCACAGCTTTCCAAAAGCATGTAAAAATGCAGAAACCATTTTGCCAGAATTCAGCTTAATTTTTATTTCCTGAAACTATTCTGATCTTGGATTTTTCTTTTTTAAACTACCTGTTCTACTTTTGCTAACCTAGAGTGGTCTTTCCACTGTTGACAGGACTCCTCTGAACTCATTAGCAGGACAGACAAGAAGGCATTTGGAACAGAAAATTAGACCATCAGGACACTGCTGCTCTGTTCCAAGCCAAGCTATGGAGCTGTGAGTCCAAAAGCACTATTCAGAAAAATAGCTTGTCCCTCCAGTGGATAAGACCTACACAAATGAAGAGCTCACACAACCTGATAATCCCTACCTAGTACCCTGGGTCCACAAAACTGTGGAATTTAATGCAAGAGTAGTCCTAGCGTAATTCCATTTTCTTAAAACTGATTTCCAAGAAGCAGATGACCAGTTAACCTCCTACTTATTTACTTCCTCTCCTGTAGTTAGGAACACCTACCCCACTTCCCATTTTTCACCACAGAAAAACCTGGTGTTAAGAGTTTTACAAGTGCAATTTTGCAATTTGCCCTTTGCCACTTAAGATTGACATACACAAAAATGAAGATCTTAAGACACCTGCTTTGCGTCCACAAATGTCAATGAGGAATAAAGTGGAAAAAATCGATATTTTGCATTGCTAGTTTAGTTGGATGCCTCCAAGAATTTTGAAACATAGGCAAAATTGGGTCCAAAGTTTGTTTGCAATACAACAATACAGCTTAAACCTCTTATCACAATAAATTAAGACAACATTTTAAGGAAAGAGAATCCAGTGCCATCTGAATTAGCCTTCGATAATGTGACTTTAAGGAGTATTCTTATCTAGCTCAGCCATACAGCTGAACAGATTCTATTTGATAGTATCCAGATGGTTGTCTATGTCATCTTTTTATCTTACCCGCTGGTACTTCTAGATGAAATGCCGAAGGTAAAAAGTCAGAATAAGCAGTCCCTTCCAGTCTTAAGATTTACAAACTCAGACTCTGATTTAAAGAAACTTGCAACCTGCTCACTATTAAAAACAAACAAATAAAACCTCTTTCTGAGTTAGCACTAGATATTTGCTTCCCAGAAAAAAAAAAATCTCTTATCACTGTCTAGATCCTGTTATTTTACTGCACAAAGGAAGACTATGTTTATGTGTTTCAAGGGCTTTCATTCTTCAAATCAGGATACATCTCTCTGTCCTAAGTAGTATAGCAGAGCTAACAGCAGTGCTGCACGTTTCTGGGGAGGTACCTGAGATGGTGTGCAGCTTTCGAAGTTAGCAAGATTTAAAAAAACAAACCAAAAATCTGACAAGTATGACACCTGCAAGATTTTCACAGACCAGGACATTAGTCTGCCAGGTTTTGTGCAAACATGCAGTTCAATCCAGTTCCTTCCTTAAAATGTAGTACCCACCATGAATTAACTGTTTCAAGGAAACAACAACACAAGCAATAATCACTGTCATTAAAGGCCTAAAGAGCAATGGAACTTGAAGGCACAATGAGCTTCTTGCATACTCTGATCTGTGCAATACATAATCCTGCATTTAATAAAATCATGCTTACAAAAGCAGTAAGTCACCTTTCTGTGCTGTACCTATACTGACAGTTCTACAAGTGGCAATCATAGCCACTTGCTGCTCACGATGAGGTGTCAATGTTTCCACAGAAAACAAACACCAAACCCACATCATGTATTTTTTTGACAATGGGAACTAATTTTGATCACATTTAGTGGTAGTACCTTAAAGCACTACTAAGGAAAGGCTTCATAACAGCTGCCAGTCTCCAGAGCCATCTATTTTGGTCTTGCAGTTTATTAAATATTAAAAAGCATTCTGGAATTGTACTTACCAAAATGCAGTCCACTTTAGATTGTACAGTTTTGCTAGACGTGAGGAAAGAAAGAGAGAATAGAAATCTTGAATTAATCTAAACAGCAATGACAAATACATTACATATTAGAATTTCTACCACTGTACTACAGGCTTAATCTCCTACTGTGAAATACCCTGCTAGTCTATGGAAGAATAGGCATCTGGTTATTTTTTTTGTACAAAGTCACCCCAAACTTAACTGTTTGTTAGAATTCTTGCTGGTTTGCTCTTTTATATACAGAACTGTACTTTTTTTTTTTTAATGAAATGTCATTGCAACTGGGAGCTATTATTCCAAGTTGCAAAGCAGCCAGGATGGTTGCCACTACTTTTATTGTAAGCTCTTCCACAATTCAGATGCATTTTACTTGTTCATCTGTAAACACAATTAACACTCCCTTCTCCCCACACTTCAGCAAACCCCACCACTTCAAGACATTTATTTCCAGCTTTCCAAAGAGCTGCTACAAAGCAGACAATTAGTATACCACTGGCAACTAAGGAGTTTTCCATGTTAGCCTCACTACCTCCCAGCTGGCTTATTAAGATGACATTGGGTGGGGACTGAATTAAAGATTGCCATAAATGACCTCAGTACACATGCCAAGGAGTGCAAATGGTATGGAACTTATTATACTTCACACACATAAGCAGCTTTTGTGTTTCTTCAGGGTGCTGTATTTCATATATTCAGTCTGACTGCATCAGCTGAAGGCATTTTATCATCGCTCTGAAGAGGAGCAGGAGCTTTAACATGCAAAAACCAATAGCCTTTACTGCTGGGCACCTACTAAACAAGCACTAAACAACCATTTCAGAGTTCAGGAAGCGATTCTTTCCTAGTAGAATAAAACATAACTCAATCTCCTGTTAACACAATAAAACATCTCATTTCCAGTTATTTTACTTTTGTACAGGTGCTACAACGTACAAAGAAACACCAAGTAAGGTATCTGATGGATATACTAAAATCATAAGTAAGAAACAAGCCAAACAACCGGCTCTAGAGTCTGGTGGTGATAGGAACCAAAGCCACTGAACCAGCACCTACTGTTGTACCAGATGCTCAAAGAGGCAGGAGCTCGGCTGTCCTGCTTGTTAACACCACCTCATTTTGAAACCAGACAGTCTAAAAATCTGTTCTGCGGGAGCTGCTAATACTGATGCCCCTTCCGACGCAAGAACTGCATATGCTATAGTGACAGAATACAATAAAAAATTTCAACAGGTAAGAATATACTACAAGTCCACTGAAGCAGATACATCAGCAGACATCCACTTCAGCTGACTTTGTGTAGGAGAAGACAATCAGATGGGTGGACATCCAGGAACACCAGGAAGGTAAAGCAGAGCTGTCGGGGATTTGTGAGAACAGGGAATGCTAAGGACGGTAAAATGGGACCTTCTCCTTGCCGTGGGGAAGACGCTCACATCTATTGGGTTCCCTTTAGTTGCTACAAATGTCATCTCGCTTTTCAAAAACCACTGTCTTACTAGAAAAGTGAAAGGACACCAAGCATGGAAACCTGCTGCTGCTGCTAAGAGTTATCACTGTGTCTGACCCAAAGCTGACCAAGGCATGCTGACACAGACGGCTGCTCCAGCAGCACTTCTTTCACCCTGGACCCCACCTCGCCCCCCTGCCTCCTCCCCCTAGCAGGGGCCCGCAATCCCTGTGCTGCTACAGATCCACAGCCTCTCCTACAAAGCACTGCTCGTGGCAGCAGGCAACCGGGCTTACGCATATGTACCCATTTTTGTACCTAAACCTTTCCTATGGCTTCACATGATAGCTTAACACAGAAAAGGCGCGTGGAGGAGGAGAAGGGGATGCAGGGTACAGGCAGATCAAACTTAGTCCAAATACAGCCCCTGCTCTACAGACTTGCAGACGACATTGCGTGCTAGGCTTTTCGAACGAACATGCTTCAGCCAGCACCGTTTCCCATCCTGCTAGGTTCTGCCAAATTGCACATAAGCACGCCCGTTTGCATTAATATTTTCTTCTTGCAAAGAGAAAGAGGCAAGTTGCCAGGAGGCAGCTGGGCAGGAGATCCCTAGAGCTGTCCTTTTTTCTCCAAATATCAGTCTGAGTCAGTAAATGTAAACTCTCAAATTTAGTTCAGGCTCGTCCAATTGTGACCTCTGCTCCTACAGCACCGATCAACGGTGTCAAGACACCGCGGCAGAAGAGCAATAGTAAGGCCAAATACAATTTCCCTATGTTTCCTTTTCGTCAACTGGCGGCACAAAAAAGACAGTCAAGTTCATGTCCTCCAATCTGCAAGCAGATGTTGTGACATTTTAAAAGGCAAAGGTCCCATGGCTTCAGCAGGGGTAAGTGTGATGTCTATTTTAGCAGCAACTTTTTTCATCTCCTGTTCCATGTTCCCTAGTATACTGGGGGAGGACATCATTAAAATTTGTTAGTGGTAAACTGAGGCTTCCTTCATCTTAGCCACAGTACAGGTTAACATGGCCTGATGCTATAAAGCCTGTGCCTAATGACATAAATGCTTATTTACCTTCCAGTGGAGTTGATCCACGTCAAAGTCAAGCAACAGCAACCCTGAGGAACGAGCCCTTTGACTGTGAAGGTGCTGGGACACTGACCTGCTCATGGTCCTGAGCACTGCACAGAAAAGCTCCACCTGGTGACACTGCAGGATACATCTCCATTGAGTCAGGAGATAAAAGGACAAGTGACAAAGGTGGCACAGGAACAGCCATCCCAGTTACAATGTATTTGCCACTTCTGTTTATTTCATCCCACTTCTTCATTCCCTAACAGGACAGATGTGTTTTGAAAGCTGAAATTTCATTTACAAATAAATAAGTCTGCTTCTATCTCTGTCAAACGCATCCCTTATCTGGTTACTACTGTGATTACAGTAACTGCAACCAGCAATCCCAAGAGCAAGGCTGAACCAGGTCCTACACAGAGCTGTTCCTACTGTTCAGAGTCTGCTACCCACACGCTTTGCTACGCATCTAGAAACAGCTGCAGGAGAGCAGTGGGAGTCATAGATGTTCTCGCTAATGAAAATAACTGTTTGAATCTATTAGGGACCTGAGCCCATTGGAAAACCAAACTTGGAAACCGCACCGTAAGCCAGCAGCCAGCATTGCCCCTCCCGCAGCGCTGCTCCTGGGGGCTTGCTGTGACTCACCCCCACCTAGAAGCACAGCTGATATTACTCCTCTTTTGTAGGTCTTCATGCTTCTATGATTCTATACTGACAGTCTCCCTGAAGTTAAACTAGTTCACTTACTTGATCTAAAACTTAATTCAGTCTACTTCAAGCAGTTTCATCCAAGACAAGAAGGTGCCTTTGCCGAATCTGGAGGTAGCTGTCTCTTACAAGTGATAACAAAGGTGGCTGCTTTTACAGCTGCCTTGGATTTACCAGCTTGCACCAGATAGTGACCCACCACAAGAACCTGGGAGCATAAAACTATATACCAAAACTTTGCCCCCCCCCCAAAAAAAAAAGAAGAATGACACTATCACAACCAACAATGAACCTTTTCATCAGTGGATGCAGACTGTTTGAAAGTTAAAGCACACTGAGTGACTCAAGAGGGACATAGTCCTCTTCTACTGTCTACAGAAACGCTCCTCAAACATGTCAACTCTGCCCCAAACACTACCAGTCTGCTTCAACCCGCTCATCTCTGAAGAACTACCATCAGCCACTCAAAAACAAGAGCCTGGCTTCTACTACTTAGAAAAACAGCAGCGAAAAAGGGGTTTCTTAGCCTTTGGTTTAGAGAAACATCACAGGGTGGCTCCCTGCAAAAGCCGTTGTGTTTCATGGAGACCTCCAGTCCTACATCCTCCCAGGGAACACACCTTGGCTCCTTTGGGTCTGCAGCAGAAAGCCTTAGTGCAAAGCCACCAGCCCATCTTAACAGCCCCAGCTTTTGACTTAACCTTTAGGGCCAAGATCTTGAGAGAATCTTGAAGGCAACTTTTGAAGGCTGCAGTAATTTAAGCTCCTAAATGCTGAAGCCACGTTGACAAACTCCAGAAAGTATCTTGGGGAGGACAGGGAGGGGAGAAATAAGACTAAAGCATTTCCTCAAACTGTTCTTCTATCTTATGCCAAAGTATGCATGTCTGCTTTCCCTGACCTATTTATGTATTTCTACTCAAAACAGCCCTGACTTGGCATGGACAGAATGAGGAGTGTGTTCTCTCCCCAGGTGTGCAGCTGGGTTTACTTTGCAGTGAGGGAGAGATGGAAGGGTAAAAGCAGGAGAAAGCAAGGAGATGTAATTTTTTTCAAAGTGGCATAAAACCAGATGCTGCCAACCTTCCTCTAATTCAGCAATGCTTTACTTTCAGGAGTAGGTAACTGAACTACGTTGAGCAACACGGGACTATCGTATTACAAGAGGTGGCAGAATTCAGTTGCTCTGAGCACACCAAGTATTTCCTTAGTGCTGCAAATAGTAGAAGCCATATAACCACAAGGGGTATGAGAAGCCTTATGTCTGTGAGACCAGAAAGGGAAAGGTGGTTGGGAGAGGTATAAGGAAGCCCTCGAACTTATTAGCTACTGCCTAGTTAACCCTAAGCCTTCTCAAAGCCTGCGCAGCCACTGAAACTAACCCTTACCAGCTTTCCAACTGCAGAGCACTCACTCCCTATGAAAGCCAGTAGCATAACAAATACGAGGGAGCATGCACACGTGCACAGGGCACACGCTGTACAAACACCCACCCACTGCAGCACAACTCTGGTCCTGGGACACATTGTCCAGAGGAGGATGCTGGCCAAGGGGCTCCCGGTTGTGTTCCCAGCTGAAGTGGGACAGCAGCCCCCACCCCCCCAGGACACCGTGGTCCTGCTCAGGCAGGGGACCTCCCAGACCCAAAGTCACACGGGACACAGCTCTCATCATTCAGGCACTAGCAGCGGACTCAATCTTTGAATGGAGGAAGATGTTAGTAACAGCAACAAGTCCAGTTCAGCAAAATTCAGGGGACAAGCGGAGCCAC